CGGAGCTCCACCATAGCCTGTAGTGTCAGGGGAAGAATGGCTTCCAGGGAGTCTCTGCAGGTATTGTGCAAGGTCCTTCTGGTTTACAGCTTCTGAGCGGCTCTCATAACCCCAGTCCACAGGACCTCTGACTCCTTGGGCTTAGTCTGCATTCTCATGTTCTCTGAGTCCTTGTTCAGCAGCTGCTCCTCCACTGATTCTGGACCTTTCTGGTTCTCAATGGCAGGAGCAGGAGTGGGCCATTGTATGACATGTATTCCCAGGGGTTTTTCCATGTTTGAATGATTCACACATGTCCATGGGTAGGCATCTGCAGCCTGTGCATGGTGGGCCAATTGTGTCATTGTTTCTCTGTATCATGATAGTTCTCAATTAAGTGGCAGTGGCTGTCCTAAGGGCCGGTGCGCAACAGTGCTCGCCGCATGGCTCCCCGTGTGCCAGGGGCCCTCCCTCTGGGGGCCTAAGAGGCAGGGAGTGAGCCGCCAGTCAGGATACCAGCACTCCCTACCCGTGGCTCCCCGTGCGCCGGGGACCCTCCCTCCAGGGACCTACAAGGCAGGAAGCCAGCCAGCGGGAAGACCGGTGCTCCCTGCCCATGGCTCCCTGTGTGCCGGAGGCCCTCCCTCCAGGGGCCTACGAGGCAGGAAGCTATCCAGCCGGAAGGCCGGTGCTCCCTGCCCGAGGCTCCCCCTGTGCCAGAGGCCCTCCCTCTGGGGGCCTACAAGGCAGGGAGTGAGCCGCTGGTCAGAAGACCAGCACTCCCCGCCCGTGGCTCCCCGTGCACTGGAGGCCCCCGTGACCTAGCTCTTTAAAGCATGGACAGCCACTTCCCAAAGATCACTTCTCTTTTGGAAAATTCCGCTAGGGTGATGTTAATGTGTTAAAAGACACATATTGAACACATCGTCTTCCTTTTTCTGCCTAGCTGCTTCTCGCTTTGCTAATACAGAAGAATCGGGAACAAGAGGCCTCATTAAATGGACATCCGGGAGCTTAGAAATACAGTGGATGCACTGAAAGCATACTTCTGAAAAGGTCAGGGTCATTGCGCACAGACAGCTGTTGTTGGAACACATGGGCGTCTCTTAGATTCCCCAGCCTCTGCCTCCTCTCTAAAGTAAGAGAAGGTTTGGCCCAGCTCTTCCTTCCTGCACTAAAATTCTTTGTTTTCAAAGGTTGCTGTGTTCAGGTAATATTTTCTGTGTGTAACAGAACCCAGCCCACGAGGAAGGACTCTGGCCTCTGGCTGGAGAAAACAGCAAGGAGTGATGAGGGAGGGAAGTGGATGCAGACTGGTACTGCACTATAAAGTACCTGCAGCCAGGTAAATGCTCACTTGGTATGGATATCACATGCATTGCTGTACATTAATGCCAGGTACATATGTATTTATTTCTAGTATGTGCATTCTATAGAACTGGCAGACCCCTGTTAGAAGGTTTTCCTCCACCTGCAAAAAAAGGTGGACCTTTCTTCCACTGGCTTTGATTGTGGTCTGAGAGGTGACTTCAGCAGGGAAAGGAACTGTACCCAATGCTGGCTGGAAGACATACGTGTGCCCTCTTGTGGGCCTTGGGTCCTGTTATCAGGGAAGTTTCCCCGCAGGCAAGGACTGTGATCCTTATGGTCAGGGCTCTCCTCCCATTTTACTTGAAGATATCACCCACTCAATTTTCTCTCTTCATTTTCCCAGACGAATATTTCCCAAAAAATAATCCCCCTCCAACGCCCTAGAGTCCTCTTCTTCACGCTCCACATCCCATCTACGAGCTCTTGCTGTTTACAAATTCAGATATGGATATAAACATGCCCCAAGCCCCACCCTCTCCTGCTGCCCCGCTGCACCACCAACTCCTCCAAGTCATTGACACCTCTTGCCCCATCTACTGCAGGCGCCTCCTCATTGCCTTCCCCGCCCCACTTCTTCACAGTACCCATCACTCTGCGCACAGCTGCCAGACAGTCCTTTTAAAACATAAGTGAGATGTGCTGGCACTGCTGTTCACAATCCTCATAGCCTCCCAGCCGCACTGGGAGTAACACCCTAACTCCTGACCACATCCCGGCCCAGACCGAACCGTGGGATTGGACTCTTGCCTAATTCTGTCTCCTCATCTTTTATGCCTTTCTTTCTTGCTCACGCCTCTCCAGTCATGCTGGCCTTCTCACTCTTCCTTAAAAAAGTCCAACTTGCTCTTGCTGTAAGGTCTTTGTATTTGCTGTTTCCTCTCCTTGGATGCCCAGATCTCCACAAGGCTCCCTTTTTGCCTCATCAGGCCCCTGCCCAAATGTCAGAGAAGCAGTCATCCCACATAACGTGGATGCAACTGTCTAACCAATTACTCTGCTTATTTTCCCTCCTGTCTTTTATTAGATCTCATTGACCTGCTTACTTGAGTCTGATCCCTCTCATCTCAGAATGTACATTCTGTGATGGTAGGGACTAGGTCATTCGTGTTCAGCAAAGCAACGCCAGGCTAAAACACTGCCTGTCGCTTGAAAGGCACCCAATAAATCATTGCAGGAAAAACCAATGAAGAGAGTCACACACCATGTACAGCAGAGCTGAGACAAGCTGTCCTTTGGTTAGGACGAGCTCAAGTACATTTCATTCTTACCCAATCTCTTGAATTTATTCCTGATTGGCTACTGCTCCAAGACTGATCCTGACTCCTGGGGTGCAGTTGAATGCTACATGCACATCAATCCATGACTCAAACTGCATTCATTGAGTGACAGAAAGAGAGAGGGAGGGGAAGGAGAGAGCAATGTAATAGCAAGGGCGACCTGTGTTTTGCTCGGTGAGTGTGTGCACTAGAGTAGCAGAGAATGAGATAGGGGTCTGCTTTGGGCTCAGTTACTCTGGGTTCCTTGGTGTCTTGGTCAGGGGGCCATACTGGGAGCTTTAAAATGCTGATTGCCGGAATAATAGAGCCATCAAATGCAAAGCAGGTGGGAATGCCCTTAAATCCTGCATCCACTACATTACCCTGCGACCTTGGGAAGTTGCTTACCTTTTCAGTGCTTCAGTTTCATCTGTGACATAGGGTTAGTCTAAGATTTAGATGAATAATATGTATAAAACTCTTAGAACAATACGTGGCATGTATTAAGCTTTATATACATATTTTTAAAAAATTACTAACTTACTTGATTTTCTCCTTTCTTGATGACTTTATATCTTGAGTACTTTTAAAAATATTGCTCCACTGTGAATGGCACTGGGGTTTTCACTATACTTTTTTTTGTTTTGTACTGGGAATCAAACTTATGACCTCAGGCTTGCCAGGCAAGCACTTATGCCGCTGAGCTATATCCCCAGCACTCTCATTATGCTTTTAGGCCAGTATTTTTACTTTTAGCACCAAGCATGATTATTATTTCAGTCATTTCTCATCTAGCAGTTATGCTTCACCATAAATGCTATTTAAGCCAAAATATCCCTAATTTTGCAAAATGAAACTGGACATTTAGGAGGTCATCACCCAATTATACTTGAACAAAAGATGCTTCTTACTTTTTAGTTCTGTAAGCTTATTTTGGCCAGCATTTCTATAACATAATATTGTTATTTGGTACTCTCATGTCAGTCAGCTCTACAGAAAAATAAATATCAGCATTTTCCCTAAACATGTGTGCCAAATCATCCCCATACTAGGGACTTGGCCAGACCTTCTCTGGAAGCCTCTTCAGCTCTGTTTTCCTAAAAATTAACATACCTCAGTGAAGTAAGGGGTTTAGGATTTAACATTGTGTTTGTTGTGCCTGATTACTGGGTGAATTGTGAACAACTGAGATGGTTTAAAGTCCACTGTGTTATTTGAACAGGCTGGGTTCAGATTCGACACGAACAAACTTCCTGTCAACTCTGGACGGGCTGTCAGCACCTTCTAGGCTCAGCTTGTCACCACATTTCCCAAGGCCCCGTGTCACTCATTCACATGTAATGCATTGGGACCTCTTAAGAAAGGATTGCAAACAGCAGTGTTCATTACCCGCTAGGAACTGCTAAAAGCCTCCCTGAGTTATTCTACCTATGCTACATTAGTACTTTCCGCAGTCTTCACCTTAGTCAGGGTACCATAGTTCATCCATTCATTCAATAAATAATGGACTGAAAGCTGGAAATTGTGCTAGGAGGGTCACTGAAGTGTCCAAATTGGAAAACTGTCACACATTAGATCAGCCACCAAAGTGGTGCCGATACAACTTTCTAAATATCTCTTTAATCCTTGTTCTGCTCTATCCTTATTTCCAACGTCGCTATGTTGGTAAAGGTGGTCTAAGCCCAGGTACGAAAAAAATCAAA